GTGGGTGTGGGAGTGGGTGTGGGTGTGGATGTCGGTGTGGGTGTGGGTGTGGTTGTCAGTCTTCGCTTCCCCCACACCCACACCACACTATCTTGAGGGTGTGGGTGTGGGTGTCGGTGTGGGTGTGGGCGTGGGTGTGGGTGTGGGTGCGGGTGTGGGTGTGGGTGTGGGTGTGTGTGGGTGCGGGTGTGTGGGAGTGTGGGTGTGGGTGATAAGATACCCACACCCACATCAACAAGCCACCCACACCCACACCCACCTACACCCGCACCCATACCCACACCCATATCCACACGCCACCCACACCCACACCCACACCCACAGCCACGCCCACCCACACCCGCACCCACACCCACACCCACACCCCAATTCTATACATTCGTTTCCGCGAATCTTCGACAGAGTCCCTTATAACGTCATAGCGAAATTTTTACCCCACGCGTCACTCCATTAACTAACGTTCATCTACTATAGTCCTGATTTAAACACAAAGGGATTAGCGTATTGGAAACAAATTGAATCAGCGGATAAATTAGAGTCGAGTACAATCTGAATGGACATTTATTGATGAATTGGAGCATGATGTAAAAATTTCGTTATGATATTGAAAGAGAAAGTGTTGTAGTTTGGAGTCAACGAATGTATAGAATTTTGTAGAACGATTGGAAGTTTTTGCGTTAAATTAAAATCAACGTTTTATAGAGACTTTTTTTGAGAATCTACTGAAAAACAAATCTGGCCTTATAACTCTAAAAGAACAAGTGATATGATCAAAATAGAAGTGTCCGATTCTATCTTGACCACCCGATATAAGGAATAGTTCTAAGGGATAAGGGATAGATATAAGAGGTTGGGTATAAGTACAGAGTACAGCTAGACATACAAATAGGTGGATGGATATTGATATTGAGAAGGCATGTGTGGGATGGACGGTATTACAGTGAGAATTCTACGAGACCTCGACTACGAAACCTCTTTTCAAAATGAAAGAGACACAGTGTTGTGCGAAACCTCGACTACGAAACCTTTTTTGAAGCTATTGAGGACCAGTGTTGTACGAAACCTAAAAAGGGTTTTGAACTCGTTCCAAATCTCAAAACCCTTTTTAGGTTTCGTATGACATCTTTTTTTTCAGTGTACCTATACCCTTATGTCTATAGCCTAAAACCTACACCATTATACATATATCCTTATACCTATATCCTCATACTTCTACCTTTATACCTATATCATTATACCGATTTCCTTATATCGATACCCTCATAATTATATCCTTATACCTATAGACATATGTTTTTGAATATATACATAGATATATCTGAATATATTTATGTGTCGTATACATTCCACTTCGAAAAACGTTCGATAAGGGTCTCTTTTCTTCGTCCGTCCACGCACAAGGTCCCGCACAGATATTTTTTCATCATCCGCCCACATACAAGATACCGTACAAAACCTTCACTTGTCTCATCGAGCCATAGCAGGTTTCGTAGAAAAAGTACGAAACCTTTTCTTATCTTACGGAACCATAGAGGTTTCATGCAAACAATACGAAGCCTTTTCTCATGCTATCGAAGCATGGCCATTCCGTAGAAATTATATGAAACCTATTCTCACTCTACCGAACCATTGATGGCTCTTTAGAAAACATACGAAACTTTTTCTCTTTGTACCGAACTATGAACGGCTCCGTAGAGAACATATGAAACTTATTCTCATTCCACAGAACGATAGATGGTTCCGCACCAATATATGCGAACCTTTTATCACTGCACCAAACCATAAAGAGTTCCGTATAAAATATACAAAAGTATTCGTGGTTCAGTAGAAAGAGAAACGGTTTCGCACATTTTATACGGAACCATGGATGGTTCCGTATAAAAACTATGAAAGCTATTCTCATCCTCCTCAACAGTAGATGGTTTCGTAGAAGGCGTACAAAACCTTTTCTCATTCTACCGAACCATGGACGGTTCTGTAGAAAATATTTGAAACCTATTCTGATTCCACGGAACCATATATGGTTCCGTACCAATAGGGTGTGGGTGTGGGTGTGGGTGTGGGTGTGGGTGTGGGTGTGGGTGTGGGTGTGGGTGTGGGTGTGGGTGTGGGGTGTGTGTGGGTGTGTGTG